GACTTACCTGACTAGTGCCTCCTTCAGTCTGCTGTTTTGCTCCTCCAGTTGTTTTACATGGTAACTTGAAGCAGCTCCATCTGAACCTGGGAGACAAGTAAAAGTGCAGGAAGTATGAAGACACTAGGAAATATCAACAACGAGAGCGGTAGAGAGTTATTTAAGAACAGACGAGAGGAACCTTTTTCTGAAATCTCGTGTCGAAGAATCTCCAGGTCCATTGACAGCTCCTCAACTTTTTCTTTGAGGGATTCCACCTCCACTTGCAGTGACTCTGCTCGCTCCTCAGCCATTTCTTTGTCCAGTGTTGCCATCTCGATGGCATCTGCTGTGTCCGACATCTCTTCCATGTATCGATCCTTGGCCTCCTGAGCCTCACGGGCTTCCTGAATTCGACAGTGCATAGAAAGTGCATAGATTTGTCATTCTCTTCACTTCATATTGCATTGCACACACACACAGCACTCTATACAGACACTCTACCTTCTTGGCTTCTTTCAACTGCTTCTGCAGATCACCCTGCTGCTCCTGCATTTTGATCTTCCACTCCTGGAGTTGCTCCAGTTGGATCTTGTGTTTCTCAAGCTCCTTCAGTTTGGCCTTGTCTTCTGTCCGCTTCATCTTCAGCGTCTCCAGCTTCTCTTCCAGATCTTTGATCTGAGCTCGGAGTGACTCTTCCTCCTATGAAGATGGTAGAAAAGAAAAAAAGAATAAACAATGGAGGACTTCCTCTGTTATCCAAGATTTTACTACAAAAGTGGAGCATAAAAAAAAACCATTGATCATTTCCCACCACAAACATTTGACAAATTATGTTTTAAATCAATGGCCAAGAATTTCCTGAATTCAGAAAAGTCGCCTCAGCTGCAAACTGTCATGAACGATCATGCAGAGAGTTGGTGCATTATTTTCTCTCCAATCATTCATAAAAATTCTTCTGATGTTAAACCATGCAGCATTACCACCGACACAAATTGCTGTGAGAACACCAAAGCAATGATAATTCATTAGGAAGGTATGCTGAAAGTCACGGTGTGCCCATTGATAGCATGGGTCGGTTAGTAAACTCATTTCAGGTATTTCCAGCATGCAACAATCTACCTGTTTGGAAATTGTAGGTTCCACCTAGAAAGATTATGACAAGAATAAAATGGCACACACTTATGTTTGCGTCATTGTTTTCTTTTGAGCTATTACTACATTTGACTCCCATTTTTGATGACCTACCTTACTGGGAGTAGCTGGCACTGAGGCTGCCACTGCTGCAGGGGAGCCACTGGGCTGTGGCACCACAGGCGCTCCCAGTGATCCCTGATTGGAGGACATGCTCATCTCACTGACATCCGACAGGGAGGACGACAGGTTCTCACGGGATGCCTAGTCACAAAATACGGTGAGTGTAGGGTCTTAGTTTGGATATTAAAGACAGAAGAAAAGAGAGGAAAATCTAAAAGAAGTTGTAAATTGAAGCACTGCAATTCTACAAATTATATGATGTTAGTTATTTGTTTGTTAGTACAATAAAGGAGAGATTTTGCTACAGTGGCTAAATAAAAAAACTCAGTCTACAGGTGGAGACTTAAAGCTGTGCAAAGAAGGTACTTAGCAGTCACCCATTTATAAGTGACCAAAATGTCACCAGTCCCCTGTGAAGCAGTAGCAAAAGTACTACCATAATATAGAGCGTACCATAACGGACAAACTGAGGCGGCCAGACTGTCGTACCAAAAGAGAGGGGAGGGAAGAGGCAGGTGCAAGACGAGGCGTGCTCCACTGCTTTGTGATTAGGACCAATAGGATTCCAAACCATCATAGTAGTTAATAAAACTTTGTAGTACATTTTAGGTATAATAAAATTAAAATAAACTTTAAAAAATACTCTAAAATAAAAAAAAGTTTCAGTTTTTTTAAATTATTCGTTTCTTACAACAACATACTGAAAATTTCTGTCAGTCTTTTACCATGTATGAAAAATCAAATAAATCCTTTAGTGCTGTGTCTCTAGCATTCATTGATAGTTACACCCAACAACCCTAAAGTAAAGCTCCAGACCACTGTAGGCAAGCTCACCTTGGTAGAGCGACGGGTAGAAGACTGGAGAAGAGACAGAGGTAAATTATGTAGAGTGGGCGAGGATGAAAGATAAAAGGATTAGCGGCACAAAAGAGGTATAATTACTGTTAGTCAACTTGGCATAGATTTAAGCCCAGCATGCACAGGGGCAAACACTGTGAAAATCTCATTCTTGATTATTTATAATCCAGGTGTAAAATGTGAGTTCATGCAACAAACTCAATTGTTATTCAATCCTGATAAACAACATGGTGATTTGAAAACAACACAACACAGCATTGGCTCCACAATGGTGCTTACATGGTGATCAAAAAGTGAAATAAAGTGAGAATTAACATCATGTCATGCATCTAATGAAAGTGAAAAGAAACTTTTGTCAATTAGGAGTGAGACTCAACACTGGAAAAGACGTCTTAAATGCAAAGGATGAGTTTGAGCATTAGTATGATAAATAACAGCTTATCATACTAATCAAATACGTTTAATTTAAACACTTCTACCTTCTTAACACTTGGAGTCTGCAAAAGTATCAGGAAAAATAGGGCATGTTAAACAAAAAGCTAAAAGGCAAAACTGAAAATAGAAAATAGCTATTGCTTGGAAATATAACTATTAGTTTATTTTTTTAAAAACACTTTGGCTGCTTAATCAGCATTGGCCTCCTACCTGTTTGGATGTTTTAGGAGTCTCTAGGACATCTGAAAGAAACAAAACATTGGTTATTATTACTTTAGGGGTATGCACACTGACAGGCTACTACATACTGTGGTCTCGACTAACCTTTGTGTCTGGGTGTCCTTGCAGCACCAGTCTCCTCAGGTGAGGTGACATTGGAGATGTCTTCCACCACTTGAATCTGCATACGAATTTGATGTGAAAAAACCAATGTTAAAAATGTGTCTTGATAATCACATCAAGATGTAAAAGTGCTTATACAGTCCTGAATAGCAAAACTTTTCATCAATTTGTCTTCTAAAAATTCACTCTCACTAATTTTATTTGTTTGCTTCCATTTCAACCGAGTCTGACTTGACAACTTGTTTCAAATGTATTTCTGTTGAAATGCTGACAATTTGTACAGCAACATACACTCATTGCATGTGAAAGATATATATAGGACTAACCTGAGACTGTCTGACAAATATTCCATGATTTTCCTCACAGGTAAAGTAGCGTTTCCCCTGCACGGTGCCATCATTCTTGCCTTTAGGTTCATCCAGTATGACACCCACCCATTTTCCTGAGGCAAAAAGGGTTGCACCAATGTAGGCAACAGTGCCACGCTGACCCTTCCCGGTCACCTCTACTATAGAACCAATCTATGACAGAAAGGGGCACAAGAAGACGAAACATGAGTTGCATGTTACTGGATGACAACTTTGTTGCCGTTGTTATTGTTTATGCACTGCGTCAGTGTTGGAACAGAACCTACCTTTGGAGGTTTACTGCTCTCCATTGCTCTTACGTTGCTGACTTTGCTGAGCAGAATGCTGGTCAGCTGAAGGAGAAAAAAAAAAGTGAACTTTACTACCTCTAAGGAACTTGTACGGTGAAGAATAGAGAATGAGACAAAGAAAACAATGAGTCAATTGCATGGTGTAGAAGAGTAGTCATCAAATAGCAGCCCATGGGCTGAGTCCAGCCCATCAAACTGTTCAATCTGGCCTGCAACTGAATTCCAAATAATCATTAAATAATAATGTTCTAACAAAAATTTAAACACAATTAAATAAAGAATAAATCTATAAATAGGAAAGACAATTTCATTCACCCTTACTGGAGTCGTGATTACACAATGTTCGCCTCGCTCTCTCACAAATGATTGTCTCAGAAACAGCACCACGCAAGAAATACCGGCAAAATTAGATACCGAGCGTGATGACACACACGTAGTCACTTAATGATCACTTGGTGCTTGCGTGGTATGGTGGCTAGTTCAGCAATTGAATTATGGTACAACAACTGAGGCAATTTTTAGTCTAAAATTGTCTTTGAACAAACCAATTTGTTCGAAAAGGGAGCCATTCGACTTGGGTCTGGAAGGCTTCAGGTTCGAGTCCACCAGCTGGCAAGTTACCACTGAGGTGCTCTGAGCATGGCACCGTCCCCACACACTGCTCCCTAGGTGCTTAAAGCTGCCCACTGTTCACTTTAGTGATAAGTTAAAAGCAGAGGTCACATTTGGTTGTGTGCAGTGGTGTGCTGTGTCACAATGACAAGGAGTTCACTACAACTTTCCTAAATGTAATTACTTATCTGGTTTTATATCTTAATTTAAATCATAAAATGCCCTGATGAACTGCAATGTATAATTTGTACTCCATGGTACTTTATTTTCAAGCAGTTAAGGGTCACGGGGCAATAAAAGAACAAAAACACATTTATTGAAGCAGTCATGTGCCCTAAGTCACAACAGGGGTCCTGAACACATGTTATATCTCTGCTTGGCTCACACAATGATGCTCATTCAGAACAAATTAACACTGCGGTGAAGTAAATTCTTCTCTAGGAGATGGAACAACACGTTAAAACTGCAAAAAAAAAAAAAAAAAACTGAAAGGAACCACCAGATTTATAATGGCAGTTGTGAGTATATGACTTAATTATTTTTTTTAAAGGAACATAGACAGTATTTACTTTACTAAATAAACTTTATCTGGCAATTAGAAGTGTACTCTTGACTTTATCAAGTGGTATTAGCTGTGATCCATTATAAAGGGTTAACTCAGACAAGAATCTAATAGAACCATAGTATTAAACAGACTAAAATCATCATCAGCTTAACAATGAGTGTAATAACTCTAGACATTTTATAGTATATATCTGTTGAAATTATCTAGAAAAAAACAAAACAATCAATATTTACTGTTTATTACTCACCCTGGGGGAAATAGAATGTCTTTTGTCCATTTTTTTTTCTTTTTAAACGTCCTATTATTTTCTATCCTCCTAATGCCTACAGGCTACTTTTCCTCAATACCTACTCCTACTTTCCTACTTTTCCTACTTTTTTCCTTCAATTTCTGGGAGGAACCTAGATGTACATACTTATTACTCACATTCTCCCAGCAAGAGGAACTATACAAATTACAATTTCTGGGAGGAACCTAGATGTACATCATAATTATCAGTGCTAACGTCACAGCAGATTTAAAGTGAAAGAAAAGTGAAGGAGGGGCAAGCTAGCTACTGCGTGTCAGTGCAACACTCAACACATTAGGTAATAACATGTAAACAAAAGAATTAATCAGTTATTCATGAATTTTTTTTCAATGAGTTTTCTAATCAATGTCATTTTTTACAGATTCCTTAACAAAACACTGCTGTTCTTTTTTGGAAATGTTTTACAAGTGGCAACCATGTAAACAGACATAATGACCAATAACCAATATAAACTAAATTTTTGTAGTTTAAAAATAATCATAATATTCATAGCCTTACAAATACAAGGACATAAACACAAATAACTCTTTAAAGAAATATACTCCTTTTTAAAATATTATGTTATTATCAGAAATATATATTTATGAGCTATTATGACAAATCTAATTACCTGCTTTATATCTATCAACATTTCAATATGTATATAGCCACAACAACATTTTTAAGTTTAATAATTATATTATAAAACAAATATAAAAGTTGCAAGATTTCTTAAAATTAAAATATTAAAATTAACAGTAATATCTGTTATTATTAGTCTTTTAAACATCTTGCGCTTTTCACACAGAACCAGTGTTGTGGCAATTACTTCTATAGTAACTAGTCCATAGTCTGTCACAAATTTTGTTTGTCGAACAGTTATCTGTGGCATTTTGAGTGTTGGTATGAGCATTGTTGCACAAAGGGTGAACACAGATAATGTTCGATTTTTAACAAATGATTAACTATAACTGACACCTATGTGAAATGCTTTTAGTCATACAAAGGGTGCAATACTCCCATTTTTCCGAAATTGTTTGATTTGGATTTTTTTTTTAGGTGGGAAATGTAACACACGTTTTCGCCTATGGCGCTATATTTGTGGCCTGAGAGAATCATAAATACAAAATTGGCTGAGAGAACTCGACCTTACTTCAAAAAGCTTTACATTGGGGTAGGGCTGGAGTTGAATAATGGCCAATCAAGATAACAATGGAAGAAGAAAAGCCGAAGTAAAATAATTCCTCACTAATAGAATACATCAACAGTCAGTGTTAGTGTTACCTTGCAAACAGAGAAGTTCCTGTCTTTGAAAAGGTATCTTTTGGGCGTTCATTCAAATACCAATCCTCTGTTGTTGTTCTTTTGGCTACCTAGCTTGGATGAGCTAGTCCGCATTTGACATGTCACTTCCGGTAGCATGACAGCCGAAAAAAGGAAGGGTGGGTGGAAGTTAGCGCCCCTAGAGGCTGCACCTACTTTACTTTTTACAGCCCATTGCTGTTCTCTACGCGTATCTTTTAATTTATAGACGTTAACTCGAAACAACGTATCGTTTTACACGTGTTTGCACACTACGTTACCGCTTTTAATAGTTACAATTTTAAGAGCACAATAATAACCAGAGAGACCTATACATCTGTGACATTACAAAAAATTGTGCGGTCATTGTAAGGGCGCTTTTTAAACGTACATAAAGATAGGTTAAACAAAGCACGACCCTCAATAAGAGTAAAGGATCAAAGTAGCACTGACAAAATTAATCAATCCTTATCTTTGGTAAGATAGCATTCGTTTTGATAAATAATTGTGCTGGTTTCAATAAAACGTACTTTTTATTAATTTTGCGAAACTAATATAGTATCAAATGTATTCTAAATAGTTCCATATCTACACAAACGATAATAATTAGGCTGGATAGAAGACGTGTCCTCTGTATTCATATTAACGTGTAATTAGACAGAGGCCTGTGAAGAGCTGACCAATCAGGTGGTGGAGAAGAGGCTGTCTCTGGACCGGCTGGTAGACGGCACACGCACCGGGGACTGAGCTCGGGTCGCAGCCCTTCCCTGCTTCGGCAGTGACGGCAGTGACAGCGACCGGACCAACAGCGAAATTTCTCTTTTTGGCTCTTTATACCAAGGTAATATATTTTATACGTATTCATTTATGACTTTTGAAATAGGCACCCACAAGAGTTCATCGGAAAAATTTGTATTGTATATTCTTAAAACAAAACTGTCTTGAAAATATTCAAGTTGGCATTAACGTTCATTTTTTACCCGGTGGTGACTTTCAAAGCTACTATAACGTAGCTGCTATATGTTGTTGGCAAAGGTTGGATTATTCGCCAGTACTTTGTTGTGAAAAGTAAGGATTAGGTATTTCCGGTCTGTTGGACGCGTTTGGACGCTGACTTGATGAACTGCTGCGTCGGAGATGACCGGAGGATTTAACTCGATGCTGTGCGTGGTGTGGCTCGGTGATCGAAAAGTCCAGTGTGTCCTGCACCGATTCTGGGTGTTATTTATTCCTACCGCACCATTCAGTGCCAGCTATGGTCATGACAAGGAAACGCCATGAAAAGTTGTTCCAAATAGTTTAGAATCGGCAGTGGGTGTGGAGCCGGAATGTGACGTTACGTCATTTTGTTTGTGCTGCCGTGCTGTCCGGTCTGCAGAGCGTAGTCAAAATATCAACAAGTGTCTCTATACTCAAGTTATGTTTTTACATATCCAGAGCAAGTTTGGATATTTACTATAGTTACTATATGAAGCAGTAATGACTGAATAATAAAGTAGTGAGTAAATACATGCTTAAACTACATAGGCAAAATGTATAGCTTAGAAATATGGACGTTATATTGAGATAATATGTTCTTAATGTCTCCAATATGCATATTACATTATTTATTACACTTTTCATACACCATTTTTCCTTATTCCCATGCTGGGTGTTTCAGCAGAATTAAAACCGAAAGTTACCCTTAAGTAGATTCAAAGGTCTTGCTAGTGAAGTCCAGCGGCACACTGCTGTTATAACGACACCATTAATCCTGTTTATGACACTGTTGCCAGCAAATATTTTAAAACGTAAAACGAATTCATTCATTTTTGTAACGTGTGAACAGTGTTCATACTTTTAAGACATTAAGTGCTTTTTGACAACAGCATTCCCAGCGGTCAAACTATTTCTTGCACATAACTT